AGGTATCCTTTCTACCTTAGAACGATAATTTGTGCAAGTAAGGGGCGTTTAGTCAATTAATATAGTATGTCGTGAGGTATACCATAATTCCGTTGCTCTTCTTTTTTTGTAAATCTTNGGCAAGCACAAACTGGAAGATAGAACTAACCACCACCGTGTAAATTTGAAGTGATTCTCTCTTTCTGATCCAACCAGGTATCCATTCTACCTTTTTTGGGAAGGTTAGAACAAGAATTTGTGCAGGTAAGGGGCATTTAGTCAGTTAATATAGTATGTCGTGAGGTATACCATAATTTCGTTGTTCTACTTTTTTTGTAAATCTGCCGAGAGAAAGTTTATTACACTTTGTGGCTGTCGTTGCCATTGCATCTTCTTATTTTCAGTAGCGAAGACAGCCGTTGAACTTTGTCCGCTAACCTAATCCACCACTATGTTAATACATACATACTTTAGTTTGAAGAGATTTTAGCCTTATACAAAGCTCCACANCCACCACTATGTTAATACATACATACTTTAGTTTGAAGAGATTTTAGCCTCATACAAAGCTCCCCTCTCGCCTACTGCGCAAACGTCTTAACTCCAAAATCAAAAATGTGAGAAAAACTGATTACAAGTTTTTACTGAAGTCTTCCGCCTTTAACAAAAATTAACTGAAGCTAAGGAAATACATCAAATATACTCGCAAAGCTGCCAACAGTTCTCATTTTGGTTCCTTACTTTGTCAAAGGGTGCTGTTTTGTATTTGTTGTTGCTAGGCAAAGTATACAAGAGCACAACGGTTTTTTTGGTTGATTTTTTGCAAAGGTATTTTTGCGTATTTCANATACATCAAATATACTCGCAAAGCTGCCAACAGTTCTCATTTTGGTTCCTCACTTTGTCAAAGGGAGCTGTTTTGTATTTGTTGTTGCTAGGCAAAGTATACAAGAGCACAACGTTTTTTTTTGTTGATTTTTTGCAAAGGTATTTTTACGTATTTCGAAAGTGATACGGTGGTAAAATACAAATTTGTGATGATACAAAAAATACACTCAAACATTTTGAAGAAATGATGAAATTATTAAAAAATATTCATGATCTAATAGGCAGCATACACGGTGCGTCTGACTCGCGAGTCGGTTTGGATGTGTTTGTGAAAATAAATATGTGTTAGCTACACCGAAAGGCGAGTAAACACATACACAGATGACTCGCGAGTCAGACGCAATGTCTATGGATCCTATAAAAAATTCGAGAATTTTGAAAGCTCTTCAAGTTTCAAAAAGTTTTGTACATTTTCAAAATTTTTAAATTTTGGAAAACGGTTTGAAACTCTTAACCGAGTCTAGTTAGCTCCTAAAATAGGGGTAAGCTTACAATAATTTCCGTATTATGGAGTACACATCTTTCACTACAATTTTGAATCGCTATATCTCAGAAATGGCATTTCTTAGGAATAAAAATGTTATAACGGTTTTTATAGATAACTGCATGATCTACACTTTCGTCTCACATATTTTTGTGACGAACCTTCCCGTTTTGCATAAAAATGGAAAAAATCAATTTATGTGACCTTTGACCTTGAATAAATTCTTTTGTAGAGGTGGGATCGATGGGAACTTTTGACATTTCATTCATAGTGGTGTTCGTAACAATCGTACCAAATTTCAGTTTTATGCGAGTTATTTTAACCTTGAATGTCTAACTTGGCCGGGTTAACTGGAAAACAGTTGGAATTAAAAATTTTGAAAACAGATTGAAAAAATTTGGATTTCGAATATTTTGTATTTATTTAAAAAGTAAACTTGTATACAAAACTTAAAATATGAGAATTTTTTTATTGGTGCCATAGACCGTACGTCTGACTCGCGAGTCATCTGTGTACGTATTGACTCGCCTTTGGACTATACAAAGTTGAGCCATTCCGAGTCATGCCAGAGTCACGTCGGTTTAACTAAATCATATTTATTCGAAAACAAAACAACCGTATAAACATTTAGGAGTGCCGTTAGCTTCTTCATGATCCAGTGATCGGAACTAAACGAAATTATTACGGAGCCACCCTTGAGTTACCACCTTTCTGATAAGAAAACGGTGCAGGTGGTCCAAAGGTGATCCGGTAACATACAAAAAAAAAATATTTCGACGAATTGATAACCTCCTCATTTTTTTGAAGTCGGTTAATAAGTTGGAAAACTTGTATGACAAAAAGAAAATTAAAAAAAAATCATAAGAAACAGAATATTTTGCAGGAAAACCTATATAGCTTTATAAAAATGTATTACGCTAAAAGTTAAATTAGGACATTTGAGATTTCTGAATTTTCTTTATTTATTTATTTTTTATTTACTTCTTATCTATCCAATCACAGTTTGTTCTTAGGCACTATTTGTTCAACTTATATATGTAGATACATATATACTTATGTATATACATAAATATTTTTTATTAAAAAAAATAGATTTTTTTGTTTAATCAGCTAGTTTCTATAAAACTTATCCTTAGCAAGTGCTCGCAATATATTTAGTGAGTTATTGCATATTTTTTTCCGTTCACTGCAATGATCTTAGTGCGTGTTTCTATGGGTGTATGCGTGTCTATAGTTAAACACCCTTTTTATAATATTTTTTAAAGTGTGTGCAATTTTAGACTGTGTTTCATATTTCTAAAAAAAACATTCAATTGTGTTATTATTTTACTAAATCAAAAAATGTGTTTATGTTTTACTAAAAAAAATATGTGTTTTCATTTTAATTAATAAAAATTTAACAAATATGCAAAATTTAAACAAATAACCCACTCATACACCGAAATTTAACAAAATATCTACTCTTAACTGTCATTGAAATTCAAAAATAAAAACAACAAGCGAAAATCACCAGTGTCATAAAATTTCGAAAAACAAAAAAACAAATACTAATTAGACCTACACCCAGCATCGCCAGCAATCAAAACCGATTGGAAAACTTTGCGCATTGGACTTACAACTCTAAACTCCACTCATCATAAACTCAAAGCACCATCACCATCAGTGACATTAAATATTAAGACAAGTACTCGCATTAAAAACAAAAACTAACCTCAATTATTTCACCGCAACATTGGAAGCATTTGAAATTTTACAAAGCACACAACTATTTACAAGTACATACCTGCCTGACTATGTAAATGTAAAGGGGTGGGCTTACGATTCTCGCTCATTTAGCAAAAATGCGATTACCAACACAAAATGTTATTAACAAACACGAAAACGCATTTACACAATGACTAAAGTGTTGAAAAGTTCGCTCATAATGGGTTCATTTCCGCATCCCGCCGAGCATATTTTGCTTTTCGTACACATCCGTTGCGAGAGAAGCAGCCATGAGAAGGGCCCAGGGTCGCTTTTGTCAGCGAGAGCCAGACAAACAGCGGCACTGTCATTCGAGACCAAGTACCGCTCACACACAAACACTTATTCATATCTAACGGTATAGCTACAAGCATTTAGCCCAATCACCTTTTCACAATGTTACAGTGCAGCATTGTAGTTTACTAACGCATTTGAAGCCTTGAATTAATTTTAAATTTAATTTAAATTGGGATGCTTTTAAAGCAAGAAATTCAATAACTCGACATATATAGCTTTTTGATTCATTAAAAACTGGACATTAATTTGTGGTCATTTAAAAACTGGACATATATATATATATTTTTTTTTTGTTTTTCAATTTAAAATTGGACATAATTTTAATTGATTGAAAAACTTTTGATAATTTGAACACTGGAAATAATATTGTGGTATCTTAAAAACTGGTCACTAGTTTCCAGGTAATTTGAAAACAAGATATAATTTGTTTTGTTTATTCAAAATCTGAACATAATTTTTAGTAGTTCCAAAACCTGGACATAACGTCCTTGGCAGTTTCAATATAATTCTTGGAAATCAATGAACGAGATATCAGCGAAAGATTTTCATCGACCGAAAATTGGAAATGCGATGCTTGGAAATCAAAAATCTTTACAAAAGTGGCCTTAAAAAATGGTTCATTTAAAAAAGGGGCAAAACTTTTGTTTTATATGTTTTCATAATGACCAAAAATTTATGTGCAGTCTTTTTCAGTCAGTTCTTAAATTGCTAAACATGTATGCCCGGTTTCTAGATTATCAAAATGTTATTTAAATTTTAAAAACTGTCGAAAAGTTTTTAAATGAAAAATCAAAAAATGTTGTCCATTTTAAAAATGCCAATATTTTATGTCTAGGTTTTACATTATCAAAAATGTATTTAAAATTTGTATACTGTCTAAAAATATGCAAAAGTTTTACAATAGTAAAATTTTATTTAAATTTTTTAAACTGCCAAAAAATTGTATCCAATTTCTACGTTGCAAAATGAATTATTAAAAAACAAAATTATTTACGTTCAGTTTTTAAATTGCCAAAAAATTGTTCCAGATTCAAAAATGTTTTAAACTTCTCGAACATTCATTTTCAGTTTTTACATTGCCATAAACGTATTTCCGTTTTTTATATTGCCAGAAAAATTATGACCTTTTTTAGATATCCAGAAAAAATATATTTATATTTTAGGATTCCCAAAAATGTATGCCCATCCAAAAAATTACGCCCAGTTTTTTAACTGTCTAAAAATTATGTCGAGTATTTAAATCACCAAAAATGTATGCCCAATTTTTACTTTCAAGCATTCATTTGATAAGAGATAAAGAAAAAAAACCACAACAAAATCCGCAAAAAAACTGTTAATGTATGTTTACTCCTACAATGACTTTGTTTTTACTCTTCTTTGTCTCAACTTTGTGTTTTCTTCGATTTCTTTTTCGATGTGCTTTTTCTCGTATTTCTTTGCTCTCTCCCGCCCACGCGCACACACACACCTTCACCAAAAATAACACGGTGCCGTACCAAAAATTAACCCACAAATAAATCATTTTTAATTACAACCAAAAAATAATAATTAAAACCCAAAAAAAAACGAAAAACCAAAATCGAAAATGCCTTTGCACGTGCTTTTCTAGATAATCCCTATCACGGTGCGGCGGCTAGCATCAGAGGCACAGCGGCAACAGCACAAAAATGGCAACACTGCTTACTCCTAATTGCACTGGCAACGATCGCCACATATGCGTGGCCACTAAAACAACAACAACAGCGACACACAGCGTATACGTCCTCTCTGCAGCTGGTGAAACGTGGCAACATGCCAGCGTCAATAGTGGCGGTGAAATAAATTGGCACGCAAGAGAGGCTGAAGGGAAGGAAGAGTGGAAGTGAAGAAAAGAAAAAGAAGTAGTGAATTAACAATTAAAATTGTGCAACTTGTAAATAATAAACCACAGAACAAATAATTTAAAACAAAGAAAAAAGGTCACAGATGAGCACTTCCAGTCAGACATACAGACATAAGCATACATAACTTCCGTAAGCGTTGCGTAAATATTGTATGCAAATATATTCCGTTTTAAATAATGTACAAATAACACTCTTCGCCAAAAAAAAATAAAAATAGAAAACTTAGCAAATAAAATATCAAATATTTTATATGAATATCAGAAATCCTTTTTTGGCTTTGCCTTTCGCGCAAAAACGAAATAATGTTCCAATAATGTGTGCTTCTACTGTTACCTTTTAGCGAATTTTTGCGTTAATCCAATTAATTATAAAAATATATATACTATATACAATTTTTTAAAAGCAATTTGTGCTCCATATGTATATTAGTCAATTTTTCTCCGCAAAGCATAAAATTTATGTAATTCAAGCCTGTTAACTGTATTGTTCTAGGTACTTAAATAACGAATTGTTATCAATTAAGTTGAATCTTTGTATGCCTTAAGCAAGAAACCCAGCGCATTTATTTACTTAAAAAAAAGCAAAATAAATTTCTAAAATAAAATAACGAATTCATATTTCAATGGAAATAATAGATTTGTATTTGTAAAATAAAATAAAATGAATTTGTACAGTGGAGAGCTCTGTTTTTTTTTTAATGCTGATTTTTAATTCGCATTTTTTTTTTTATTTTACTTTGCAATATGTACTATGCTCATATTTTTATCAACATTTCTTCCTTTCCCATACCATATTTTTTGTATTTGTTGCTTCTTTTTTGCCAGCGCTTATTTTTGCTCTATTTCCATACAAATTAAAATGAATTTGCATAGAACTTCATGAAAGTTCGGTAGATATATATTTGACGAGACAGGCGTCGCAAAAGAATGTATAATAAAAGGTTTGATAACCTGGCAGTTGTCTCACTCACACGCAGGGTTGCCAACTTGGCTTAATTTTTGGCCCCATTTTACTTCAATTTGCACTTAATTTCTCAATTGGCACTTTTGGAAAATAGTAATATTTCAATACATTTTTGTGAAATCGTTTGCGTGTACTTCTTTTTCTCAACTAAAATTTTATAATTTCTTTAGTTTATACAACTGGTTTATTTTCCTTTAGCATTGGACTTTTGTTTTAGGAATGTGTTTCTAATTGTAATGCTATATGGGAAGAATTAAAAAGGATGGCACCTTTTTTCGCACTTTTATTTTTCTATTTGGCAAGTATTGGCACTTTTTTATCCTCAATATGGCACTTCATAGCTAAATATAGTTGGCAGTCCAACTCAAACCGTATTGCTTCTTTCAAAATTTTTCACAAATACATTAGCATTCACTACTAATTGCCCACTTTGCGTACTATTCTACTACCATTTTCGCGCCAAGGGATTTCATTCTTTCCACCTTCTACCTCCTTTGTAAATTTAAGCTTTTGTAAGGGAGTTTCAAAACCCGGCTGCCAATAATTATCTAACGTTTTACTATTGAAACAGGGTATGCACATTAGGATGCATCACAAAAAAAAAGGTTTAAAGGACTTTCCCCCGTTGATACAATTTTTAGGCAGAGCTTATAAACGGAAACTCTTCTATCAGCTAAGGTGATATTTCTCAAAAAAAAAATAAAAAAAATTGTAATCTACTTTTATTTATAAAAAAAAGCTCGATTCTTGGAGGTATTTTTAAATGAGTCAAGCTCAAGAAAATCTTAGAATTTTTTCGAAATATTTTGGCGGAGATGACGAAGGCATACCGGCTCGAACAACCGCGTAACACTAGCGCAACTAAGACCTGCACACCAGGACAGGTTAAGCTCTAAAAATTCAGATGTCTTTAAGTGTTTTGGAATAACGGTACATATTTCGTAAGGATCTTACGATGTGTCGTTCTAAATTTCATCGATAAAAATGTAGGCGAGAAAACTTAAAATTAATGATGAACGATCGAAAGGCACTCCGCCACCAAGACAGTAAGAAAAGTAAGAAATTCGTTATGCAATTGTTTACCGCTTCCAACGCCAGCTTAAGCCTGCGGAAGTTTTCAGTGAATTCGGAAGAGTATATGAAACGAACATGCCATCTCTTAAGACCATTTGTAAGTGGTATCAAAGATTCCGAACCGGATATTTTCCCCTGGAGAATGAGCCGCGAGAAGAACGGCCCTTGCCGATGAAACAAATTTAGCCCTAATGAAGATAAAAATTCACGAATTACATCAGAAATAATGGCTCGAGAATTGTGCCTCAATATCAAGATAGTCTCGCTTATATTTATTGCGTAGTGACCTAAAATAAAGCTGGAGTTCATTTTGCTCAATATTTGCTCAGAAAGTTCGAAAGCGAAGAGTCTAACAGCTTATATATGATCACAACAGGCGATGAAGCTGGCCTTCATAAGCATCACCCAGAAACTAAACAGCAGCCAATGGAGCCTAGGAAGCAAGTCTATCTGATACAGCCATGCAACAAAAGTCAGCAACGAAAGTGGTGAACTCCGTCTACGTGACCAGAGCAAACATTGTAGCTACCAAATGTTATACGAAAAGCGCTTACCAAAAGTATTCGAAAACTTGTTGGGAAATTGAAAAAAGAACGAGAAACCGCGCCGCTACTTTTTACGACACGATGATGCGCCAGCTCACTCTGCTGAATTTACAGGCGCGTAAGTTTTTCATAGCAAAGCGGAGATAATTCATGACGTTAATTTAGAACATAAGAACATACAAAAGTGCGATTTTGAGCACGATTTTAAACCAAAATATTAAAGAAATGTGTTTAAAATTGTCATTATGTGAAAAAGATAAAAAATAAAAATAACAAATTAAAGAATTTTCTGAATGTCTTTTTTCCGCACAATTTACCGAACATTTGTTAGTTCCCTCGTAAATATAATTTCTTTATGAAATTTTTAACCATTAACGCCCAATATATAAATTCTATGCCTATATTCGCATAATATATATGTATATATTATGAAATTCTGAAAAATCATATTTTCATAATTTCTTCTAGGTTACTGCATATACGTATTTTAATTTTAATTTAATATTTATTATTTCAACGATCCTTACATTACTTCCTTAATTTATTGCTTGACTTTATTTTGTTTTAAAGCTATAGGCCAATTGATTTGTTTTCCATTTTTGGCTCGTTTACGATTTTATTTTCCTGTGTCTATATTCTTTACAAAAAAATTTTATTTAAATAATCTGCATTGTGACTAACACTGCCAAATATGATAATTAGTATGATTACATATATAAGGTCATATAAGTGTATGTATAAACGAAGTAAATTCTAATAAAGATATAAATAAATCAAATAAAACTAAAACCAATCAAAAATTGTAAGAACCACCAACTACGTATGTAAATTTCAACTCTCAAAAAGAATACCATTTTTCATAGGCGACCACTTTTGAAATGCATTCTAAAAGCATTCATATGTATATAGTACTTTCGAAAGATTTTATACCATTCTTCAAAGCAACGAACGAAATTAGTGTACACACCGTTCCCATTTTGATAAGAGAATATTACCGTAGGACCTTTATGAGAGTTTTCTAAACATTTATTATTTATCACGATTAAAATAACACTTTTTACGGGCCGTTCGTCCCATGTCTGGTTAAATGCTCTGCCACAACTTAATCAAAAGTTGGCTCCGAAAGTTTAAAGGAAGTTGGCCTATGGATTAGCTGTCAAACCCAAGGTTCATAAAATACAAGGTTACGACGTCAGCCATGTCCGTCATCTTGATGACGTAGATAGCTCAATTCTAAAACATGTATTATAGAAATACGCTCTTATAGAAAAACATCTGCTTTTCATTTTTAATATCAAGAGCCTGATTTTATTGACCTCAGCCAGGTCATATTCTCGTGGGTAGACAATGTATCTGAAGGACGCTTAACCACTCCCATGGAATGTATGTTAGTGCACATTACAGGCCTGAACACAATTTTTAAGGAGAAAAATAAAGAGATGTGCTTTTACTTATGGACAGTTATTTGCGAATTTCAAGAATTTGCGCTTGTTGCGAAATTCAGTAGAAATTTCAGCTGTACTACTGAGATGCTCTCTATTTCTCGAATTGGTAGGCTCGCAAGCATTTTAGTCGTGCGTATGACAGTGCAAGACGTCGGTAGAGAAGATGCTTCTAAGTTTCCCTGGTCTACTGCAGTGATAAAGTAAAACCACTACTTGTATTCACCAAAACGAGCAAGTGGCCTGGCAGTCTGGCAAAAGGATAGATCAGTTCAAGCTGTTGTCAACTGTCGTTGCTTGAACTCATCTGCTCTTTCGCCAAAGTGCCACACCACTTGCTCAATTTGGTGAATACCACTACTAACGATCCGTACACGAATCTATGTACACATATAAGTATATACTCATAAGAAAATTAAATACCGAGCTTTGTGTTAATTATCCGAATAAGAGACGGAAAATTAATAAAATCAATAGCTTTGATTCACATTTAATTTGTCACTATTGTACGAATATTATTATATATGTCAATATCATGTGAACTTATAACATTTTATGTTGTTATAATAAGCTTTGTCAATATTTTATATCAAAATGCCCATTTGATAATAATTACTAAAATATGTAATACGGCAACTGTATTTTCTGCATTTTGTGAGATCTTTCTTTTTTTCAAAAGTTTCAGCCAATCAGAACTCACTTCGTACCTACGTCACTGGAGGTAAACAAATTTTTGACAGCACCATGTCGTAACCTTCTATTCTATGAACCTTGATTCAAACCAGCCGGGACTTTGCTAATAATATTTCTAAATGTATACATATCCAGTAATAAAAGACGCGATGGATTTGCAAAAGTTAGCTCGTGTCTTTATTTTATAACCTACTAAAATTTTCATGTCACGGCCTAAGACTTAAAGCCCTAAGTATGTAGTTTTCAAAAAAGTTGAAATATTGTTAAAATAAATCTCTGAGCGAAATTAAAGGTTAAGACATATGTATATAGTAAAATTTCGTGGGAAATATCTGTATAGAACATTTTAACCTATAAGCTCCCGCTGGAAGAGATCCTTTTGATCCTTACTTCAAGAAACCCCGCAAAAAGCAAATTTGGAAGTTCGTTAGGGGAATGATATATTCTAAAGAAGTATACTTCCGAAAATTTTACTAGGGGTCTTCTCAGGCAAAGGCTTCATGC